CGAGATATAAAAGTATAACAGTCTCAATCATCATTCATATCTTTCATCCCACTCGTAAGTGAATATAAGTCGAAAACTCTTTCGATTTATGAGCACACATTGCCCAAGAATTTCGTTATCAACTTAACTAATGTAATGTAGATCATAATCTCTTACTATCTAACAGTAACGAATCATTTATTGATCATTCACAACTTTCAATTGATTCTTCACATATTTGAACGATACCGTATTAGCGATTCTTGGCAGAGCAACATCCAACATTATCAAAATATGACTGTCTACATATAAGATACCATAATGATCTTAAGTCAAAGGAACAATTCGACTATCGAATGTTAGAGATTAATCACTAATACTCAAATAGTTATCCATGTGAAATCTTTTTAGCAGGTCTCCAATTTTTTGTTCTCTTAACAAAACATTCACATGTTCATTTAAGTGTCACCATATTTTAGCTTATGAAATCGACCACTTACTTCACAAATAAAAAAAGTCACACGTGATAGTCTATCCATAATAATGATATTCGTATCTCGTTATTACATACAACTATAAATAATTTAAGATTTAGTCATGATATGTAATTTGTATCTCACAATATAATAATAAGTTACCAAGATTTGAATCTACAAATTTTATTATTTAATTTATTAGGATATTAATTCAATTAAATAATAGATCTGCCATACATTGAATGCATCAATTATCTATAATTATATTAAAGTATCACATCAAAAGAGAATCATTTTTGGATGATTTTAACCCTCCTACAATTCAATTATTTCAATAATACATTACTTTTCGATTTTCGATATATAATAAATACTATGTAATTATTGTCATTTATGAAATTTGTGTTATTAATTATCAATTAATTAACATTCATATTAATCTAGATTTAATGAATTTTTACTTGATGAATCTTGAATTATATAAATCCAAAGTTATTATAGATAAATTTATTCATATTCATATATTTAGAAATTTAATGGGTGTTTAAATTTATGTATTAACAATTGCTTATTTGTAGTAGTATTTCATCATTACAAAATTTGAATTATAGGAATTGAGTTTTCAAAGTACAATTTGAGTACAATTTTCTTCTATTAAATTTCTATGCTAAATTTTATTATCTATAATTCATCCGAAACTTATCAAATCTTCCAACAAATTGGTACCAGTATTACTTTTACATAACTTATAAAGTATTTTAAAATAACGTGCAATACACGTTCAATTTTGACTAGTATATTAAAAGTATTTATATCCTAAATCGATTAGAGCTAGCACATAATACTTATAGTTAGCTGATGCAGAATTCTCTCTTCCATCTATTTCATGAAGACTTCTTACCTTATATTATTTAGACGCTAACCAGGTATTACTTTTTCTTGTAGGCAAAGGGAACAGATGTTGTTTGGGGAGAAACTGCTAGAGTGAAAGGCCAATTATTGTTTTTGTTCCCTGTACTCTTTGTCTTGCAGGTATCTCTTCTCATTGTTATAATAACTAAATATACATTAACAGAAACATTATTGTCTAAAAAAAGTTCGGCTTGGATTCATGCGTAGCATTTCCCCTTATCCTTTGAAACCTCAGAAGTTGATGTAGTTGCAATAAGCATTTTCTTGTTTGGTTTTAGCGTTTCCAAGCATACCTTGGACTGAAGTTGCTTAAAACTGCACTTGCTAGATTCAGTTTTGAATGGCAGGTTAGAAAACCAAGTAGATGCACATATTTATGAAAGTCTTTCAATTTCATTCCTTTATAATTATTTCACAACTTGCTAGTTTTTTTTTTTTTTTTTTTTGATAACTCAGGTGTCCAAGTTTCGCCTGACTAATCCCGAAGGGTGGCAGCCTTCTCCCCTGATTCGCCACGCAAGTAAATCCGAATGCGATCACAATTTATACAAGTTTGGGCCGAACATTTGGGATGCAGTTCTCTTCCTTGTAGACCTCCTTTTATGACATGCGGACAAGACTCTTGAAGGGGCTACAAAACGCAATATAACTTTGTCTCCACAGGACAACTGCCTTCCAATATAAATGTTGTCTTTCAGTTGTCACGGAGATTCGAACTTCCGATGCTCCGTATAGAACTCTCTTGCTTTTCTACTGTGTCATACCCTGGGCAAAGCCAGTTGCCTAGGGCCTCATGAATAAAAGCTCAAAACCAGCCCCAGTACCCACCAAATCCATTTAAAAAGCCAGTTGTTTCCCTTAGGGTTAGAGGAAGTGGAGAAGATAGTAAAGAAATTGAGATGTGTGATATGTAGTTATTAGACTTCAATTGCCGTATTTTTGGTCGCCAAAAAATAGGCCAGAATTAATGGCTATTCTCGGTTATCTGTAGCGGTGGCGAATGGCTGGTATTTCAAGAAATTTCTCCCAATTTATCAAGATGTAATTGTAATTTTTTCTCTTAACTGTGTACTTTATACAGATGTTAATGTGAAATAATTTGTATTTTTAATTTTCCCCTGATTTTATCCTTATTTGTCAATTTGTTCCTTTTTTTTTACAGATTTGTTAAAGAGTGTAAAGTTCACTAATAGATTATTATAAATAATATTCTGAGGAAGATTTTTTTATTTTAACTTAAAAATAACAATCATTTGATTTCAAGTAGTAAAATATTGATTGAAAATTGTCTCATTTCTTTGTTTCAAAGTAGTAAAATCTCATTTATTTTACTACCTACTGGTTCTTTTTTATCTAGTTATGCAAATTGCAAGATAGGAAAGAGATTCTTTTTATTCTGCTGAATGAGGGTTTTTTTAAATCCTTTTTTATTATTCTTATGTGTTGAAAATTTGTTGGTAACCAATTTTCTTCTTGTTTCCATTGCTTTAAAGAAACAGATAATTTTTCCAAAAGAAGAAAAAAAGATGGATGTCTTTGTAAAATAATTTGTGTTTATGGCAAAGTCCAATCCCATGGAAGTGACAAAGCAACTGTTAAAAAGATTTGTGCCTAGCAAGAATTCTTATATTTCTACTCATCTACTAGTAATTTCAATAGTTATACTCAATCTCACGCAATCTGTAGATCAACAACAATTTATGTTCTTTTTTCTTTTTTTCTTCTTTCATAGTTGGATTTGTTTGTAGAACTGGACTTACAGTATTATTTCTATGCATTTTAAATATCATTCTATAATTTAAGCATTGCTACTTTTGTTTAAAAAAATATAATGTTTAAGGGCCTCATAATATTAATCACCTAGGGCCTCATAATTCTCGGGGCCGATCCTGCCCATGGGGCTCGCAACTTGCTAGTTTAGTTCAATGTCCGATTGCAAACTCTCAAGTGATATGTCCCATTCACATTTATACCACACTTAGAGCAAAACTAATGTTGCTGGTAAAAACCCAAGGGACAAAAACTGTTTTCTTTCCTTTTTTTTTCTTTTTTTTTTTTTGTGGTGGGAGGGGGCGGGCTCAATCTGAAATAATGTTTAGGGAGAAAAGGTGGGGTTTACAATTCATGAATTATCTGCCGGCACTTTAGACGGTTTACATTACTTCTACTATTTTGATCCATTCTACTTCGTATATATCTAATATCTCATCCTTATCTTTTTTCACAGAAATGAAGTTATCTCACACCTTGCTAACAGTTGCAGTGTGGGGGTTTGATTTCTGAGACATGAAATTGAACTCCTTGTAAGTGCAGTGTACAGACAATTCTTATTCCTTAACCTGTTGAGGCACATCCCGCGATTTACCTCCTTCACAAAACTCTAGGGGTGAGGTAGTGGGAACCCTCAAGGTTGGAGTTCAACCTTTGTATAGTCAATCATCATATTTCTGACACCTTCTTATTTAACCAAATTTTCGATCTCATCATCCGACTGGCTGAAAATCCTGCCAAGAAGATGATTACTCACATGCTTATCGAAAATGAATATGAAGAAGATGCTTTAGAGTTTTAAATCGTGATGGGGTCATCAAAAGAAATTGGGGATGCAAATCAAAGAATTATGTGAGAAGAGAGATTCATGATTTTCGTCTGAAGAATTGGAGTGAAGAGTATGGGTATTTATAGATTTTTATTATTCATATTTCTGACCTTTTTCTTAGCTATATATATATTTTTTCACATTTTTTGGAGATAACCATTGGAAATAAGAAATATAGCCGTTGGAGCTCTTTGGGGCATAGTCCAGTGGTGCAAATGATAGGAATGAGGTTATTTCACGTCTTGCTGGCAGCCGCAGTGTGGGGGTTCGATTCCTGAAGAATGGAATTGGACTCCTTGTAAGCACAGTATATAGGTAACTCTTGTTTCCTGACCTGTTGGGGTACATCCTGCGATTTACCTCCCTCACAAAGCTCTAAGGGTAGGGCGGTGGGGGCTCTCAAGATTGGGGTTCAACCTTCTTTTTTTTTTTTTTTTTAGCCGTTGGAAACAATGTGGCAGCTGGATATTTTGCCCTCGTATGGCAGTTGAGATCCGTTAATTAGAGTTCAAATTTGGTCCCCATTTTATACATTCCACCCCCAACGAATAGGTTTATTCTCCATCCCCTCTACTCTATTTGTGAAAGTGGAATAATGAGGGCCAAAAAACTCTTAGTTCTTGCTTGGGATTGTTTTTAAGTGATTACGAGTTATGAATCCTATGAAATGTTTCGGATAATGAGTGGGTAGTAGGTTCTAGGTTCTACAATGTTTGAACAATATAAAAAAAGTTAAATTTTGCCAAATATGCACTTAATTAGGTCTCTCGGGCACGCATTTTCAGGTAATTTTACCTGAGATTCCTCTCATCATCATGGCTATGGGGAATTTCGCCAACATGGTGCAGACACTGGTAACAAAGTCTCGGGGGCAATATGTGGATCAGTGATCCCATGGAAAGAGTTTGTGATTGGATTATTGATGAGGTTGTAATAAATGGAAGTGGATTCAGCTACTTTTTACCATGCAGTTTTCATTTCACGCAAGTTTTTGAACTTTGTCCTGCGGACTGATTTCTGATAGCGACTCTGAATTATGGGATTGAAAGTTTAATTGAGTTCCTTGTATTGATCAATTCGACATGCTTACAATATCCTTCAATGATCATTTTCGAGCTACATCATCATTTAACAGGAATTATGAATCCTTGATTCATTCATCCTTTATTCAAGTGACTTATTTGTCAACTTTTCCACCATCACACCAAAAAAACCAAACTCTGCCTTACGTAAAAGAAAAAAGCTAGTCAAACAAAATTATGAGCCGAAGATTAGTCAGTAAGAGGCCCATGACAAGGGTGTTGGGGTGGTTTCAGCAACTGAACTAGACTCGAAAAGTCTGAGCTTCTCGAGGAGTCTCTTTATCAACATACCAGCAGCATATGAAACACCTGAAACCATGAGCCCCAAAATAACGTAGGGTACAACTGTTTTTATGTACGACTTCTGGGGTCTTTGACAGTACGCCTTCCCGATGGCTAGTATGACAATGCATATAAGAGATGCAGCTGCAACTGCTAAAAGCTTGAATTCTTTGTCATCACTCTTGAGAAACGAGAAACCATAGGTCAGGGGAGGCACTAAACCGAATATGAAATATGACAATACTGCAACGGCTGCATGAAGCACGAAATTCTCTCTTCGACCCAACAGCTCTCTGTAACGATCTCCTTGCTCATTTATCTGATTGGAGACTTGCTCTACACGGTTGCTCTTTAGGTCCCAAAGCTGTTCATTGTACAAGTAAACATAAGATGCAATTTAGCACTGAATCATACAATAATACAAGATTTTAGCTTCTTTCTCTCTTATTATACTCTTTGCATTATCCGATCCATCTTACTAAACATGCCATAAAAAGCGTGGGCAGGGTAGAGATGGCAATTTTGTTGGTATGGGTCTGATTGGGTAATGTGTAGATGGGTGATCGGCGAACAAATTACAACTTACATTGTGAATAATGATGAAAAGTCCGCCGATCAGATTAGCCAATCCCAGAGCTATAACATTCACTGCAGATATGAAGAAAGGTCGACCAGAAACATAGTCATGGTTAAGATTGGATGAGTTAACAGGAATAATAAATGAAATCCGGTAAAATTTTGCCAGTTTATTATACTTTGCAACACTGTTGAATATTGGGTACCAAATATGTTGTGAGAGAACAAATTACTTACCAGTCGACGAAAAAGATTTGAAGTACACTTACATGTGGCAGTATCACCCCCAGCTGCAGATGACACAATGCTTAGACTAGTAATCGACTCGGCTAGTCCACCGTATACTATGCTCTTAATCACTTCAATTGTATAAGCTTTTCTTGTTTCAGTTTCACGATCAACAACAAAAATTTGAGTCCCTGAATGCAGTGCACTCCCAGTTTCTGCAGAAATGATTATATCTTGTGTACTTTGGGAAGCAGTTGCTTCTACTGGTGGCGCATCTATAGTGAGAACTGCATGTAAGCCTGCATCAAAATTTCACAACGAAAACTTGATGGATAAGTGTGAGACCAATGAATATGTTTTTCAAAAATATGAGGTTGTACTATTAACTAACTGAGCAGACGACAATATATCGACATAGGCAGGAAGTTATTTTACTGGTTTAAGAAGTCCCATAAGAGGAGAATTTATGCCGTGTTATTTGAGCGAGTTTTCTTGTGCCTCAACCTTGGTTCTGACCTAAGAAGATATTTTTATTTTACGAGTAATTACTGCAAGGTAATCCGTGAACTTTCATTTTCTAAATTTCCACCACTTTGGTATGGCATAGGGTTGGCAACGGTTCGGTTCAGGGTCGGTTCAGCCTAAACTATCATCGAACAACCAATTTTTTGGCCATACTAAACCATGTAATTTGGTTTGGTTCGGCTAGGTTCATATCTCGGTTTGGGTAGTTAATAGCCGTGAAAATAAATTATTTTTTATATGTCCAGCCGTCAAATTGGAAAACAAACAATTTATGGAAAAAAAAATCAATGAAAACAAAAACACAATACTAAGCCAATTTAGCAAATAATATCCCAAATGAAAATGCAAACAATATCTCAATTTTCAAATGCAAAATTTGAATTTAACAAACAATTTTCATATATATTTAATATGTGTGTAGTAGAATATAGGTTTACTAAGTTAGATTAGTTGGACTTAGCGGGTCGGTAATGGGCTAGACAAAATCATATAAAGAATAATGGAAAGCTCAATTGCCCAATTAATTTTTTTATTTTTAACGGGTAATAGGTTCGGGGCGGATGACGGCATAAATACCATACACTTCCCGTCCCGAACCGGAGCATTAAAATCAAATACCATATCCACCCCATTGCGCCATCGGTTCGGTTTTTTTTTCGCCCTATTTCGTTCGGTTAACCACGGTTTTCGGCCATCCCTAGTATGGCATCATATTTAGGAAGCACTTGTTTGTTTATAGACAATGGTACACGAGATAGGACAAGAAATAACCTGTCCTAAGTTGTAGATTAATTTCATTCAATAACGAAAAGTAAACTAATATGAAGATTTATTACATACCTCCATCTTTTTCTGCAGCTACCTGCTTAATATCTTTTGCAATGTCAGCTGGTCTACATAGTATAACAGGAGAATCTTTTACCAATGATATGCTGTTAACCTTATGTGACTCCCCCATATGGACTTCCAATTTGGTTGTAGTAATAATATGCCCAGAAACTTCAGTGGGATAGGCTCTATCTGTCAATTGAAGGCAACATAATCCATCTATAAATTATCGGCGTCTAAAAACAAGGATTATAGAGTATGTAAAAATAAGCCAGTCAGTAGATTAAGATAGAAACCTTAACTTTCCTGATGCCAGTATGAAACGGAAGACACACAATAAATGAGATGGTAATCTTCTTGAATTTTAGACATCGATGAATTATCTGACTACCGAATACCCAAAAATCTATGTAGACAACCGAGTTATCAAAAAATAGTAAACATCTCTTCAAGTAGTGGCCAAGTAGGAGGTAAAAGAACATATTTTCACTGTATTCTATGTGCGATAATTACCTATATAAAACATATAAAGCAACAAACATTAACTCATGCAGTATTGTTCTTTGAATACGATGTGCAGTTGGGAATATCACATCACATATTTAATAGAGAACTGACAAGAAGACTGATCATATACCATTTTCACTACTTGTAAAATTTGCATTTCTGGTTTCAACTACAGATCCAGTCAGAAATGCAGCCCCAACATGTTTCTCAAATTCATGTGGATTATCTACTGATACGTCCATTTTGCTATCTGTACCTGATTCTGCAAGCACTGAAATTTTTGTTGACGACGACAAGACAAAATCCTCATCAGCAGATGAAACATTGGTTATGCATCGATTACTCGAATGAAAATGATATGTAGAAGTTAATTTTATAGATTTGTTTTCAAGTTTTATAACCAAATCTTTGTGCTGGAGAAAACTAAAATTAGGGAATGAACAATTCAAATCGCAATGCCTCCAAGATTATGAAAGGAAAAAAGCATCTTTTTTAAATTTTGAAAGGGCTGGATAGAATTATCTACCTGCACTTCCTGTTTCTGTTATCAAATTGGGCATTTGGTCATTCTCTGATTTCTCAATAGTCACCGATTCCTCAGTTGAAGAAATCAGTAATTTTAATCCATCGTTTGGAGAAAATAAGGTACCATTCTCAACAGATTCACCATTAGTGGATTGTGTCACGTCAGGAGTTCTTGTTACTGATAGATCTCTTTCATTGTTGGCTTGAACTTCCTTGGATAACTTCGATTGTTTCAATTGATCACTGGTCAATACTTCCAAGTGATTCACCATGGAATCTGTTACACCAGTGCACAAGGGTTTTAAAGAAGATGTTTGGGCAACTGTCAGGTCCCACTCACACTAAAGAATTGTCTTTATATAAAGAAGACACAATCATGAAATAAAATTACATCAAGAAAAAGGAGACATGGGAGGAGAAAAAACAATCTTGAAAATATGATCAGTAATAACATTGGAAAACAGGTTCTGCATACTTCCTCAAGGCCCCAAAAAATTTGCATTTTATAAGATCATATTTCAGCTTCGAAGGAAATGGTAGCATGTGGTACCTATGCCTTTCTTCTGCGGCATTGCAAAGTTATCTCCTGCACCAATTACACCCGTTACAGGTCCTTGCCTTGGAGAAGATACAATCTTAGCATTACCTTCCATAGATTTGTTGTTCTCAGTAGTATCTACATGTTCTTCAGAAACACAAGCTGGTGTAGATGCTTTTTGAGCCGATGAGGATTCACTAAGTTGATCATCCATAAGTCCAACGTCACCTTTTCCCATGTCTTGTCCAAGTCTACTTCCTGCACAACAGCATCTTTTGTGTTGTAGAAACAAAGTACTATTCAATTCGGATATATCTTTTTAGAATTTAACATAATGCATGTTTGCTGTGCATATAGACAGGTGGACACTACAATAGCAAGACTTCAGCTTATTTCTCTTTCTTATGAATGTTCATCGCTTTCTGGTCCTCCATGTCAAACAAGCTATACAGCTCAGACGAAGTCATTTCAATTGGAATTGAATGGATTGTTTAATGGGTATTACAGATAATTAGAAACCAAATTATTGGCCAACTTTGAGGGACTTTGTCGGTGGGTCCCATCTGTAATGGATAGCATTAGTTAGCTGGTCATTAATCTTTGGCATGAGGTTATTACAACTGTATATTAAGTTGGCCAAATGGGTTGGCCAAATGGGTATTTGTGCATGAATTGGAATAAATCTCCAAACTGAGCTCCATGAAAAAGCTTTACCATCTTCATACTAGTGAACTTTCCAATCGATACTTCAATAACTAAGTTTGCCCACATACCGTACAGTAATTCCAATCAAATAATAAATGACATTTTCTACATCGATGCATATTCCAGCTGCCCAGCAAAGATTATAAGCAAATACCATAATTCTGTGGATATCCTATAGAATAGGGAACATCAAAACTTCAAATGCACCACAAAGATTTAGCCGTTTGGGACCAATTAAACTAGAATTAAAAGGAAAAATATGACCATTTGGCACAATAAAATATCATTTGTTTATTCATGTAATCTGACTCCTTTCAGAAAAGTACTATACCCACTAGTTGTGAATGCATTTCCTCCCTCAGTTGCATAAAGAGGCATTATGGACTTCTCGAATATTTGTAAGTCATGTACAGTAAATAGAAAAATGGCACAGCATCTTTATCTTTAACATGCGTGAGTCCCATGAGTTGACACAAAAATTGATTTTCTTCCCAAAAACTGCTCCCAGACAGGGACTTAGTAGCAACTTGATTTAGACAGTTGACTAGGTTATATAGAAATTACCTTGTTCAACTGATGTTTCCGGCCTATTTGATGCAAAAACGGTGGCAAACCAGTTCTTTTTCACAATTGGTACTTGTACATCCTGGATGTTCTCTTTCAAGCTTTTCTCTCCAAATCTACCAAACAGCTTAAACCCATTCCCTGAACGCTCAAAAGAAAAATAAACTTTCTGAATGAATTATATGATACTATCTTTCACTACAAAGTTAATTCCAGATACTGGAAATAAGTAGTAAGAAAAAAGTTGTTTAATAAAGGCTATTAAGAGGAGGAAGAAATCGTTGAATTATATGATACCATCTATATACTGCTTCACTCTTAAAATAAAAAAAATTATCTGAAAGGGGGCATCTGCGATATCTGATCTAAAAAATATAGTAAATATAAAGACGTGCTTCATACTTAGTACTAGATAGGATTGAGCACAACTAAGGAAGAAAAATAATTCAAAATCTCCTCCATCGTAGTGTATAGTTTGATCAAGTATCATGCATCAAACATGCCCTAAGATCTCCTCCATCGTACTGTATAATTTAGTCAACACTGAAAATTCTTACTTGTTGGAATGAAAAAACTGAAGCATGATAAGCATCTGAATATTTCAGGCTCTCTACCACGATCATTATCATCCGCATTTGGTGTGGGAGCAACATCTACATCAATATTAGCAGTAGGACAAACTTGATCCAGGGTTTCCTGCACGATGCCAGTAACCACCTTGAAGTTGGCTTCACTTTCTAGTCCGTTACGCTTAGCCTCTTCATCGGAAACTTGAATATAGCGTTTTCTTTTACGAAGAATAACCCTTCCAGTGATACAAGAATTGCAATTAGGACAGTATAAATCATGTGTGGCCTGCTTCTGTATTATCCCTTCGACATCTAATTCCGTCACTCTCAGTTCATCCCCAGTAGTCAGGTCAATTTCTGCACTTTCTATCTCTTTTGAAGGCTCACTTTTTTTGTTGTAGTCTTCATATGAAAATTCAGAAGATGGAAGACTTGAAATTGACAAAATATTATCCTCAAGATCTCCTTCACGTTGACTGTTTACTGTGGAAGTAGAATTATTTTGAGCTACAATTTTCTGTGACGAGATGTCTAATACATCATGCTGAGGAGTTTTCTTGATTTGTTGTTGTCCAGAATAAGTAGAAGTAAATTCAACACCTGAAATCATATGCCAATTAAACCCCTTAGTGCTAAACTTATGGTTAAATGTGAAACTGCAGCAGCAAATCTACAGTACAATGCAATAATCAATTTGGAAAACTGTGTGGCCATTAACTTGCAGACCAAGGAAGAGACTGAAAACGATAAGAAAAAGAAAACAAGTCAGAGGAGTAAATTTCCTACATCAATCCTCTACTAGGACATCCAGAAGGTGGATGTGAACAGCAAAACAACCATACCATTAGCCAGAACCAATCGAGAAACCATAGTCCATCCTTATGTACTAGTGTCTTCTCACAAGCACAAAAGTGAGAACAACAAACTAAACCCTGTTTGGGCTCCGTTTGTTCCAAAATACATTTTTCCAAAACTCATTTTCAACATTAATCCATAAAATAATATTACACGTAAACCCAAAACTTTTTCTTAACTTTTAAGCACACTTTTTCCAAAAAATACCATTTCAAAGTACATTTTCTCCCGAAATCACAATAAAATGGCGCCCAAACAAAGTGTTATTTTCAATTAATTTGGATCGAAGACTACGTGAATCTATTTCTGCTACTCCATTCAGCTCGGAAGTAGAATAGCCAACATCTTTAAATTGAAATACTAGACGCAAAGCATAGACATAATTTGAAACAAGAAGCTTTTAGTAGCATGCTGCCTAATTTCTTTTATGCATAATTTTTCAATTAATGTGAAAAAATAGTAGATTCTGATAATTTCAATTGCTTCTATCAACTGTAATGTCTACTGACCTTCAGTTATCACAACTGAATTGGTTGAAATTTTGTCATTCATCAGCTTATGCAAGTGCCCATTATGGTTCTGAATACTGTCAGCACAGAAACTTCCACTTTGGTAGGTCCAATAGCAGATTCGACACTTCCATATTCCTTCAATTACAGAAAAGAGAAGTGACTGCAATTATCGCAATTGCTATTAGCGCCTAATTCACATGTAACTAATTGAAGTAACTGTCCAAAAGGTCCACCATGTCGATTGTTGGTCTTTACTTGTAAGCAAAAATGGGAGAGTGCCAGCAGAACGAATCCCCCCCCCCCCAACCACCTTTTTCTTATTTTTATTCAGAGATATGCTAGATACAAAGTAATAAGGAAGAGACACGTCAAGAAGAACTTCCACAAGTCAAATTCAACAACCACCATTATAACAGCAACAGAAAAATTTCATACTTAGCCCTTGTTTGAGCCACATTATTTTCCTTAAAATACATTTTTGAATAGTGTATTGACGGGAAATGTGTGCTTAGAAAAATAAAGAAAAATTTTGGATTTGCGTGTAATATTATTTTATCGAAGAATGTGTAGTTGAAATAATGTCAAATCACTGTTTAAAAATGTATTTTTTTTTAAAAATGTGGCTCAAACATGGCCTTAATTTAACTTAGATTAGCAGCAACAAGAAACCAAGTCAAGTTGCTGATAAATCTTGGGTAAACTACCTGAATCCTTTTCAATATTGTTACTAGATCAACTAGAAGATCTAATGCAACCAGATCCTTATTAACTGCAACAAACCAGGTTGGGTTCCGTCAACTGCTGATTATTCAACAGAGATTGCATCTCTTATGAATAGAAGCTTATATTAGATAAGAAATACTGAAATGCTGGTGGTCTTTCTTATGAAATCAGGAGTTTCAATATTTTGTATTACTCAATACAGAACTTCACTGTACAAATGTGAAGCACTCTCAGATAGGGTCGAGCTTAAAACTCAGTCCCATAGGCTTTCAAAGGGTTTTAGTGTTCGGGCAAGGCAATTTTGACCTCTCAGATCTACTCTTTAACTTTATTATAAACTGACAACAATTACCTCAGCACATATACCTCACTCTCTGTGAATTGTGATTTTCTTTCACTAACTGCACAACAATTCAACATTGTCGGTGCTTCAAATGAAGTCTTTCACAAATATTTTACTTGCTCAATCAATTTATGCAAAAGATTCCATAAGAAATTATCGAACAACTAAAATGATTGTAATGCACGGAGGATGACATTCCAAGAAAACTGGTAAAAACAATGGAACGTTTCCAAGAAATCACCTCAAGTGAGAAATTAGAGAGCATGATTCGCTCCCACGCTTGCGAATGTTAATTACCCTTCCCAAATCAATTAAATAAAGATAATGGTATATATACAAAGACAAAATGAATTATTAAGTAAGGAAAAGAAAGTTTGTCCCTTATTATCTCATTTTTCAGACAGGTAGGGTAAGGATTAGCCATGGTGTGGGCTTAAGAATCCTTTTATGGGCCACCACTTCTCTCCACACCACAGTGTTAATTAAACAAAGATTGAGAAACCAATTAAACAGTCCCAGAATGTAAGAAAACAAACAACCAATATTATATTATTAAGATTTTGTACCTTCATCTTTATCATAGTAAACACTGTTGTCTGATTTTTCCTTCACAATTTCCTCTTCTAGAATCGCATCAAATTCCTCCAGTATTTGTTCATCTTTAACAGTTGACTTACCATTTTCAGCTCCATTCTTAGGCAGAATTTCATGCCCATTATTCTCAGAACTCCCATTAATGCCCACTTCAATTTCAGTTCTTGATTTCCTTACCTGCAGTGTAGACTTCTCCTCTTCTTCTTCCACCTCCTCTTGCTCCCATTTTTGCTCTTCTTCTCCTTCCATAACTAGCCTTCAGACACACACCCAAGAAAATGTTAAAAGTAGTTGAAGCAGAAAGTAGCGTTATCTACGGAGTAGACTGGTTTTTTCTACTTGTAAAGGAGCTGTGGGTTCTAGAACATTTAATGGTGTGGGAACAAATCTCTAGAGCATCAGCGTACCATGATGCAACAAATTTTGCAGTTTGAAAGTAATGTAGAAGGTGTGGGCTCCCATTGCTATTTCAAGACAAAACACTTTTGCGGGGTCTCGGATCGTTTGATGGAATAAATTTGAGATATTAAAATAATGATATTGCAACTACAACAGTCGAAGTTAATAACCTCACACATAGCCCCCGGGCACATCTCCAAGTGGTAAAAAAGGAGGGTGGAGAAATCCAACTTTGCTTGAGGCTGCTGCGTCAAGGGTTCGAATCCTGAAATATGGATTTAATTTTTGGATAAGTGCAAGTGTACAAGTAGTCTTCCACCCTGTACCCTTGAAGGCATAAGCTGCGATTTACCTCCCACACGATACTCCAGGACAAGAGCGGTGATGTACCCTTAAAGTTGGGGTTCAATCTTTTAATAACCTCACACATAAAAGTGGCCCACACTGTACCCACACTGAATGAAAAAATTGTGAATCCCTTTCGTGAGTACGTTGCCAATCGAAGCTGTCTAGAATAATTCTTGCAACTAAGGATTAAAATATTATTGTACTTCTGAAAATTTTGTGGCTAGTGCCGGAAAAGTTCGGTAGAAACGTAGACGTTTGCAGCGCCAACATTTATATTTATTATTTTAAAACGGTTGATTTTAAAAAACTTTAATATAACTCTCAATAAATTATGCTCCTGTTTGGTAATAATTTAAATTTAAATTTAAATTTAAATCAAAATTAATAATTAATTTCAATTACATATTTTATAGGACAGTTCATAATTTTTTATCAATACCTACTAAAAATTTAATTTTAATCTCCACCAAACAAGCATTATATTATCTAGAGCTAAATAATTTAAATTTTGATTATATATCCTCATTGAAATATGGGCCTACTAAGTATAGATTTTTTTTAAAAACGATATTTTTGAAAAATGTATGATTAAAAAGTTGAAAATAATTGTGATACACATGTAAAATTATTTTATTGGTAAAATATGTGATTAAAAATTAATTTTAAGAAAAATGAGCTTTCAAAATATGTATCAAATAGGGGTGTAATCTAAATTATCCATAGTTTTAGTGACACTTTTCCAAATGCAACATATACTTATTTATAATCTCTTCTAATTTTATTCTATTGAAATAACCTAATGTAGCATAAGATCATGAAATAATTGGTTTATCTTTATGTTGACCTCAGAAAATAATTGGTTTATCTCTCAATTTCATAATTTTTCTCTCAATTTCTCCAAAGTTTTTCCTCTTATGTTTTTTTATTTGAATTTTAAGTTTATTTTTATTTTTTGTATGTATTTCAGAGATTATCTTTTTCTCAGGATGCAATTGTCTATTTATAGAAAATTGATAAGGACATTTTAATCATTTTCATAATTTAATATTCTTAATTATTTTGTTGAAAATCATGATTAAGTTTATACTCTTAATGACGGTTGATATTTGTGCTTTTATACTACGTCCCAATTATATAGACTAAGTTTCATTTTTCTCTTATCCCAAATATATAGGTATGTATCCTAATTTAGAATATTTTATTCTGTTCATTTACCAATATACTCTTATTCAATTTTCCCCACTTAATATGTCAACTTATTGAAATCATCCAAATACACACATTTTCCACTTCTTGAAAATATGGAACAACTCTCGTTTCTTCTTCTTCAACTTAAATTATTCAAATGATTTACTAATTTCAACAATAACTTACTACTACATACTGAAAATTAAATAGGGATAAACTAAAAAAGACGTTGACAATAATTGATTTTCCAATGCATTAAAGAAAATTTCTTAATCTGTGTGAAAAATGAAACAAGCCTATATAATTGTGATGGAGGGAGTAACATTTATCCAGGAATACTATGTTCGCATGCAAAGGCTTCGTGCAATCATCAAGGTTTATTTGTTAGAATTTGTACTGAGATAAGTCTCGTCCATGTTTGAAATTATTTGAGTTTCTAATCATATTTCTATTCAAGTGTAAAGCTCTAAAAATTTCTTCATTTAAACAAATCTCGATGATCGAAGTATCTTTTTGTTGAGACTAGTCAAATTCATAAATGGGTCGAAATTTAATAAGACGGGTCAACTCAAATCAATCCACTTATTTTAAATTTCTTAATCGTATTTAATACTTAAACATAAATCGGACCAAGAACGATTAAAAAACTTAATATTTTTCTGCAAGTATGAAATTCCATTGTTACTAAGTAATCACTACACGTGATAGTGTTGGCCTAACTATAAATTCGGGCACTGAATTCACTCCCACCTACGCTCACGTTGAATTCCTCAGTATTTGTTTTGTCAATTAATTGACTTTTTTTTTTAAATATTAAATTTGAGTTGAATATGTAAAAGATTACGTGTTTCGTTTTAGCTTAATAATGGCGATGATAATAGTATGTTGTAAAAGGAGATAATAGATGGAGACTATGATTCTGATATTTAATGTCAACAATTAGACGAAGGAGAGGAGTTTAGCGCATTTACTTTCTATTAGATTAGTAAAGTGCACTCACTTTAATATCTTACATTTTGTATTATGGGTCATCGAGGAAAAAAAATCTTGTTAGTCAGCTTTACCTATGAAAAATGAAAATAAAAATTAAATAAATAAACTCTTCGAATCTAAGAACATTTGAATTTTGAATTTCTTTCCAAAAAGAATGAGAATATAAAATTTCAAAAAAAAAAAAAAAAAAAGATGAGGGATTAGAGATGAGAGTTCTGGTAACAAAGTTCTCGAGTTTGGAAGTTTAACTCTAGGCTGAAGTCGATTTTCAATGTGTACAAAAGTTTTAACAAAACAACTCCTTGATAGATATTCCTTAAGAAGTATTTAGTGACTTGCAATTTGTGAAAAAGTCAATAATCACTAAAAGTTTAATTTGATTAATTGAAATTAAAGTCATGTTTGATTGGCCCTTTTTCCATTCCATTTTCCACCAATTGTGTGTTTGGTAGCAAAATTTTTTTATGGAATTCGTTTTCCATCTTTTCCCCACACATGTGCATTTTCCATGATTTGGTAGAAAATCAATTCTCGCCTCTAGCTTTTTTTATAATTTTTTTTTATTTTTATCAATGGGAACAAATTTTATCAACAATTGTAAAAGAATTTATTCTTTTAATTAAAAAATTTCATGAAAAACAAAATCAAACGAACACAAAAATATAAATAATTTTCTTATCCTTTTTTTGCAATGGAAATAAATTCTAGGAACAATTATAAAAGTGGGTATCTCTTAAATTGACAATTTTCAGGAAAAATAATGTCAAACGAATATCAAAAGACACTTTTATTTTAACATTTTTTAGATGAAAAATCATACCAATCAAATACTATTAATTGACAATTTTCACTAAAACAAATTCTAGATAATTCAATTTCCTTCGATTCGATTTCTTTCCACACAAAGCCATTTTTGCAATAAACGAACCTAAAAATTTAATTTCATTGGGAGTTCACTTCAAGGCTTGAGAAAAGTTAGGTAGTGCTTTGAAAAGTTAGGTAGAAATAAAAATAGATGGTTAAGTCACCAATTTTGTGGGCTAGCGCTGAAAAAAGTTAGGTAGAAATATAGATGTTTGCAGCGCCAACATTTATATTTATTATTTTAAAACGGTTGGCTTAAAAAACTTGGAATTAATTAAAATTAATATTTTAATTTAAGTCAAAATTAATAACCAATTTCAATCTCATATTTTACGGAACCTTCAACTTTTCAATCACATATATTATAATTTTTTATCAATATCTACTAAAAATTTGATTTTAATCTCCACCATACAGATGTTATATTATCTAGAGTTAAATAATTTAAATTTTGATTATATACCCTCATTGAAATATGGGCCTACTAAGTATTGATTTTTTGAAAAACGTTATTTTTTAAGAATGTGTTGTTAAAAAATTAAAAAAAAAATAATTCAACAAAAATGAGCTATAAAAATATGTATCAAATAGGGGCGTAATCCAAAGTATCCATAGTTTTAGTCACACTTACCCAAAGGCAACATGTATTTATTTCTTCTCTTCTAATTTTATTCTATTGAAATAACCTAAGGTACTATAATGTCATGAAAAAATAAATTTATCTGTATGTTGACCTTAGATAATATATTTTAAAGTCAATTTTATAATTTTTCTCTCAATTTCTCCGAAGTTTTTTCTCTTAGGGTGTGTTTGATAGGACTGGAATTTCATGGAAAATGGAATTTGAATTCTAACTTTCTATTTTTTGGTTGTTTGATTCGCAAAAATTTCCTTGGAATTCATTTTCCACATTTTCATGTGCCACAGACTTTTTCCATGTTTTGAAGGAAAAAAATGGTGAGAATTCATTTTTCAGTTTATTGTAGCAAATTTTTTTTTTTTTTTTTTTTGGATTGACAATGGAAACAAATTCTAAGAATTATTGTAAAAAAATATTTCCTTTTAATTGACAATTTTCATGTAAAATAAAGCCAAATGAACACAAAAAATAGATGATTTTCTTGAAATTTTATTATTTTTTTGGCAATGGAAACAAATTTTATCCCCAATACCAGTAAAATATATCTCTTTAATTGACAATTTTCATATAAAACAAAACCAAACGAACTCAAAAAAATACTTTTATTTCAATATTTTCCACACGAAAAATTATACCAATCAAAAACAATAATTTACAATTCCGAGGAAAACAATTTATAAGTAATTCAATTCCCTATAATTCATTTTCTTTCCACTCAAATTTTATCTTCGCAATTAAACGGATCCTTAGATTGTTTGCAGGGGTGGACCCACATGGGGTCATGTGGGGTCAAATGACCCCCACAAAATTTTGAATTTTTTTTAACCGTTTTATGATCTATTTTAATACATGCCAAATGAAATCGAAACATTGCATTCTTAATATAATTTTGAAATGCTCATAACCTAATTTTTCGCTTCTTAATGGCACGCGAAAAGATCACCGTAGCAAATGTTATGGTGTATCAAAGTAAGCCTTTCCAAATTAGTATTTCGAAAAGTTCAATAATATGCTAACTTTTAAAATTTGCCAATGATCGTATATTACCCGAATCCACAAATCGCCTACGTCATCTAGAAGCTTGTTTCGAAAACTACATCATAATCATATCGAATGGTCCAAACGTATATTGAAAATAGTTAAACATGTGTCAAGCATACGTACTAGAAAAGACGTTTAACTCGTTTTTTCTTTTAAAGAAATTCAATATTTCATTAACGTCTATTATTTTTGTGTGATAAATTTTTCAATATAATTTACATCATTTTATTAGGAAATTTTATATGGAAGATGACGTCAAAAAATTCTAAAATCGTTACGGATTAAATGTAATTTGAATTACTTTCAAATTATTTTTTCGTTAAACTTAAATTTCATTTACTTCATAAATTAAATGTGAATTTTATTTCAATTCATTTACTTCCTACATTCAATTTGATTTATTCGCCATTAACTCAACATATGAAAATGACATGGTAAACAAAATTATACATATAGCAAAATTCATTTAACACAATTGATAATGATATAATTTTAAGACATTTTTAAGGTGTGAAAATGCGTATTAACTTATTTTCATTAATATTATATTATTTTAAAAAAATACATATTAATTTTTGACCCCACAACCTAGGAAGGATGGGTCCGCCCTTGATTGTTTGAATATATATATATATATTTTGCTATACATGATTCTAAAGATTGATATCCTTTTTATTTTATTTTATTTTGTATGTTTATTTTCAGTTTTATAATGTTGTGTGTTTTTTTTTTTTTCTTTTTTTTTTTTTTGTTTTTTTGTTTCGTTTTTTTTTTTTCGTTTGTTTGTTTTTTTTTTTTTTTTATTTGCATGATTTGATTGTCTATTTATATAAAATTGATAAGGACATTTTATTCATTTTCGTAATTTGATGTTCTTAATAATTTTGTTGAAAATCATGATTAAATTTATACCCTTGAAAATAGTTTATATTAGTGCTTTTATAACATTTTTCCAGCAACACTATATTTGCACTCAAAGGCATGAATTGTCAAGGTTTATTTGTCAAAATTTGTATTGAGATGAGTCTCGTCCATATTTGATGTTATCTGAGTTTCTAATCATATTTCTAATAAAATGTTAAGTTCTAAAGATTTCTTTATTCAAACAAATCTCGACGATCGAAGTATCTTTTTGTTCTGACTAGTCAAATTCATAACGAGTCAAAATCTAAGACGACGGGTCAACTCAAATTGATCAACTTATTTTAACATTCTCAATCGTATTTAATACTTAAACATAAATAAGACCAAGAACGATTAAAAAAATTATCTTTTTTCTGCAAGTGTAAATTCCCATGTGACTAATTAATCACTAAACGTGATAGTGTTTGCCTAGCTATAAATTCGGGCATTTAATTCACCCTTCAACACCCACCTCCGCTCATGTTGAAGTCCTCAGTATTTGTTTTTTTAATTAATTGATTTTTTTTTTCAAAAAAAATATTAAATTTGAGTTGAATATGTAAAGGATTACGTGTTATGTTTTAGCTTAATTATGGCAACGACAATAGTATGTGTAGAAGGAGATAATAAATGGAGAATATGATTCTAATATTCAATGCGAACAATTAGTCTAAGGGGCGGCGCTTAGGGCATTTATTTTCTATTAGACTAATAAAGCGCATTAGTCAACTTTACCTACGACCAATAAAACATCTTTGAATCTAAGAGAATTTGAATTTTGAATTTATCATCAAAAAGAACGAGAATATAAAAGTTCAAAAGAATGAAAAATTTGAGACGAGAGTTTTGGTAACAAAGTTCTCGAGTTCGGAAGTTTAACTCTAGTCTAAAGTCGATTTTCAATGTGTACAAAAGTTTTAACAAAATAACTCCTTGATTGATATTCCACTAAAAAGTATTTAGTGACTTGCAATTTTCTATTAGTGAAAAAGTCAATAATCACTAAAATTTTAATTTAATTAATTGATTTGAAATACTTTTCAAGAACACATAAGCCAGCTTAATGGACTCACCTAGACCTAGGTATAAGGATGTCAAACGGGCCGAACCGCTCGTCGGCTCGTTAAAACCTGACTCGTGGGCAGCTCGGGCTCGTCAATCCCACGAACGGCTCGTGGACTCGTCCAAAAATATGAAATTTAAAAAAAAAAAAAAAAAAGGTGCAAAAAAAATATAAAAAAAAACACGAGCTCCCGAGTGACTCATGGGCTAGGCCTAGCTCGGCTCGGTCCAAGCCGAGCTCGTGGCTTGTGACTCGTGAGCTCACGAGCTCGTGGGCCAAGCTCGAGCATCGGCTCGTCACAAGTCCAAGCCGAGCTCGTGGATTAGCCGACTCGGCCCATTGCCATCACTATCCAGGTAAGGTTCATCTACAGTTTTAAACCCTACAAAAGATAGTAAGAAATGGAGAATATACCTTTCTTGAGTCTGTTCATGGGATGTAACGTGTTTGAAAGGGAGTTGTTTGGCAGAAATTAATTTCATGTCCCTAATTTATAAGCCATTTGCAAGCTCACGTTCTATCATTACGGATCTGACCATGTGAGGAGCCTACTTTTAATAGAAGATTGATTTGATGACTATCGTGGAATGTTCTCGTTGCTTTGATCAAATGAATAATTTAAAAGTAAACTTGAATAATTTTCAAGCACAGCAGAAGTGTAGAACCTGCTACACTGCATCAAAGCATGTAAATCAATATTTGTAATTCCATACAATCATGGCTCATTTGTATAGCTCAAGACCATTGGTGCATAAAAAATAAAAAAATAAAAAAGAAGAAGAAGAAATGGTGCATTCTAATTTCATGCAAAAATCATTAACTTCTAAAAAAAATTCTCATATAATGACACAAATAAACAGTAGAATATTTCAAGAAAAAAAAATGTAATTTCATTGTGAGCACTTGTCTTCAAATGTACTTACTACTTAAATACTTCTAGCAGTAATGAATTTCGTGCTTCTTTGAAGCCATTTGTTCTTAAACCGATGGTGGGGCAACGGACGGTAATTTAAGAACAAGAGTAACACAACTTTTCCAAAAAATTTAAAATCCTATAGGGAGCGAAGTGGGCCCTGGGAGGAGGGCCCATGAGCGCAGGAGTTCCCTCACCTCAAGTGAGCCAAGTTCGAGGGGGCTTGATGAAAGAATATATATATATATATATATATACACATGATCGTGATCAATCAATCTTATATTCCACTTATGCTGCTTTAGAAATACACCACAAATTCTCAAGAACTAACATTCTCTACTTACGCTGAAGTTCACTTATCTAAGAAGTAGAATATATTTCTAGGAAAGAAAAGTTAATTTTAAGTACAGCCAAATGTGCTCAGTGCTCCTAATATTTTTCTGTGCTCTTAGAAAGTATCAGATCTTTCATTTCTTTGTAAGCCTTGAGTTCTTCGAGTGCATCAGTTGTATTTCGAGGCTTGAAAAATTCAGAAGCCACTCCAACTTCTCTCACGACTTCAGGCTTAGAGGATTGACTGATATAACAACTAGAATTCGAGCACAGAGGAGGAGCTGCTCTTAGCATGTGAACAAGGACCCCAACAGCTGCATCTTGAGACCTTTTGGCAGTAAAGGATGCTTGGGACGAATCTTCTGACTTATTTTTCCCATCAAGATTCTGGCTGTAGAACAAAACAAACCAGAATGGCGCTAGTCAAATGGCACTAAAAAATAGTAACATAAAAAGTATGATGTGTATCAGGATTGAACCATTGCTACTGAGCCTATTTCCCAAGTATAAAATTGGTCCTGAACCTTTCATTATAGTTGCACACTCAGTCAACAATGAAGCAAGCCATCTAGATATCCAGCAAATCATCACATGACCCACGTGAAAACATACCTCACTTCAAATCTTTGGGGGCACCAGCCCAAGTTGGAATGAAAACAGAGCTTCTTAAAGTTAGACATGGGAGGACACACGACAATTCAATAGAAATCTGGACTGTTCCCCTCGAAATGCTATAATAATGTTGAGGACCAACTTGCTACATAGGCAGGTTGAATACCAACAATGTAATCTTTCTAAAAAAATTGTGTAAAATGAAAATAAAATAAGGAAATGCAAAACAATAGCCAGCCAACACGGCATCTCAACTTTTTGAGACACACACACACACCCACAAAAAAAAAAAAAAATAAATAAAAAATAAAATAAAATCAATCAAAGAACTGAGACCAAATCTGGACTGTTCCCTCGAAATGCTATTATAATGTTGAGGACCAACTTGCTACTTGGGCAGGTTGAATACCAACAATGCAATCTTTCCAAAAAAATTTTTGTGTAAAATGAGAATGAAATAAGGAAATGCAAAAGCAGAGCCAACCAACACAGCATCTCAACTTTTTGAGACACACACACACAAAAAATAAAAATCAAAAATCAAATAACTGAGACAAAATCAGAGTGTTCTTTGCAACTTTATAAAAGAAGAGGTAGAATGCAATTTTAAATCAAGTTTTATTGTGGTATGATGGTTGAATGAGGTTTGATTGATACAATTAATCCCATATTACTTCCATTGTACAATCAATTCCCAACTTCATAGGCACTCTAGCCAAAAGTGGCTTTAAAATATTAAAAGCAGAAACACACATCGTACTTAAGCCACTGGCATTTCTTGATATTAGTAAATAACTGGCAATTGAATTGAACCTAAACTAAATTTAGAATTGCAGGAATGGCAACAGAAACTGAAGTATATAATGGTGGTAAATGTGAGAAAATAATTGAGGCACAAGCCCATTTTCCAAAAAAAGTATGCATTTGACAACAATCAAATCATTATTTCAAGAAGCAGATGGTTAAATCGTGGCCCTCTCACCAATATGCAAGTTCTTAACAAGGTGGATAACCAAAAGCAAGGAGAACACGGTGAAAGCAAAATCCAAAAATCACAAATTCCCAATATTCAATCATACCACAAGCATGCCAATTTCAAAAGTTTTTAAGTTTTAGCTATAGTGCTCGCTTTATTACCAAAACTCGCTTGTTCAACTGATTCAAGTTAAAATTCATAGGGATTTCACAACAAGGCTTGAAAAACTCCATTGCATAAAAAATAAAAAATAAAAAATCAATAAATAAGAGAGAAACAAAAGGCAGAAGAAAATCAACACGAAATTTATTGATTTCGTACAATACAGAAAATCTCAAAGCCCTTGCAAATATTAACATTGTGAACAATTATTGTTTTGATGAAATGAAAGTAACAAGCGCATGTTTGGCCCCCATTTTTTCAAAAACTCATTTTCAACTACACATTCTCCTATAAAATAATTGTACATGTAAATTGAAACTTTATCCTTATTTCTAACCACAAATTCTTCACAAAAAACCACTATTCTAAAAAACATTTTCTTACACAAATGGGGCAAAAACAAGGCTAAATAACATGTACCATAATGGAACAAGATATTTTTCTATTTCAGCATCAACAAAGGCATAACTGGTATAAATTTGCTCCATGAAATCTTCAAAAGAGGTAGCAAAAATTTTGGGGATGGGGTGGAGGATTATTTTACTTTTAGCAATTCTGCAAGAAACTTTAATATTGCCAAAACAAGTTCGCTATGTGTACATCGTAAGCATGATTACCTGGCTTGGAAATCAGGAGGGTCGATATCATCAACAATAAATGGATAGGTGAAATCACCATCGCCAAATTCATCCTGGAATGATAATCTGCTGGAGCTTCTCGAGAATCCAACACGTGGAGAACTACTTGATGAAGGACCTGAGAACCGTCCAGAATCTTCTTTGCTATCTCTTGACACCTAGGATATAAGTAAAAAATGTGATCAATCTAGCACATTTAAGAAGCATACCAACTAGCCAAAAATAACAAGAGAAATATAAAAACCAATCATAGAAAGAGCCTACCCTTGGACCAAAGTTTCTTAGCCCAGGACTGGGCTCTCCAACCCTCAGTGAATCTGATTTCCGCATTGACCTAATTCCAGATGAGGACTCCTGGGATGAAGGGTCATTTTTTATGCTCCTAGGAGATGGAGGCGGAAGAGAATGCCTGTTTGGGTCTGACATATTAGGAGAAAGATGTCTTGGACTTCTTCCCATCATCGGGTATGGAATACTCATGGGAGAAGTTTCTGAGCGCATACGACTATGCACAGGGTTCCCGCTGGAAAGGTATGTAGGGGGAGATGGGGAAGGAGAAGGCGAAAAAGGAGGAGAAAGTAAATCATCAAGTTCTGCCTTCTGATAAGCGGACAATCTTTGGTTTTGAATCCTATGGCTGTATAAGTCGGTAGGCGTAGGCGAAGACGAAAACTCGTATGGTGACTGGTATAGATGTGAATTCTTTTGTGAAGAAACGTCCCCATGGATCCCATTTGTCCAGCTATGCCGACGTTGAAACGCGGATGAAGAAGTCGGTTGACTCCCTTTTACTGGGAAGGACGTAGCACAAAAATCCTTCTCAGACAAAGTAGCAGGGAATGGTCTGATAGGCTCGGTAAGTGGGCTTCCAACATAATCTGTAATGATCTCTGAGGGAAAAGATAAAAAAGCATCTAGGTTGAAATCAGAAAGATTTTTGCGATACATCAAAGATATAGAAAGGGGGCCCTGTTGGGTGTCAATCGGAACGAAATTATGTCTCTTCATCAGCTTGTCCTCCTCCCCTGGAAATGGAACAGCATATGTGCAGACCTTGTAACTGATATCAAAATCACAATTCTGACTTGAAAATCGTTTACGGAAAGCCTTATATGCTGGAAGGAGTCTCAACATTGAAAAAACGGAGCGTAAGAGTAATATTGATTTCTTGTATGTCTTCTTGTAAGAGGCTTCACTAATTGGATGAGCTACTGCCTTTTGATGCTCATGCTGAACAATCCACCTCTCTATGGCCGTCTCTTTTACCATCTCTGAGCCTAAAGCAATACTCGAATTATGCTCTGATGAAGACGTTGGCAATTCTTGAACGAGTATAATATCAATAACCATGGGTGGCATGAAACTTCGATTCCAAAAACTCAAGTTATCCATGGCTGAAGGACGATCTCCTAATACCAAATTGAACCACTTATCACTCCTTTTTACTTCCCCATAGTGACTAGACAGCCGGATAGCAGGAACCCTCGAATCCAATATCATATGCAAGCTTTTCAAGAAAAACTGATTAAGTATTTGTTCCAACCTCCCATTTTCCGGCCGAGGGTAACCGTACAAATCCATTTCTCTAAGTAAAGCAAACTTTACATCAATTTTCCAAGTTCAACTATATAATGTATCTGTGCATCCAAATCTTCCATAACTGGGATTCATCCCCAAATCTTAATTTTCAAATCAAAAATTTCCGGGATTGTCCCTGTCTTTTTTATTCCATCTACAGTTTTTCTTTATATAAAAGTGGTAATCTACCAAACACAAGCTCCTTAGAAAAACCCATGCATAAATACCTGAAAATACACCCAGAAAAATACAATTAAAGCAAGAAAATTTCCTTAACAGGATCATAATTGGTGATGCAATTACAACGCTTAAAATATGAACTTACTCTATATTTATGATTTCATGCAACACAAAATAATATATTATATGCAATATATTCGAGAATAATGCATGTCTAAATTGACCATACAAAAAAATACGAGAAAATAATTAACCATGAAACATTAAAATACAGATCAAAATTCTTGCATTTGATATAAAAAAGAAGAGCCCATGATTAATTTCATATCCAACCGACCGATTAAACGGAAATACAATCATACGAGTAAAAATGACAAGATTCATTAGATTTACACCTTTTTTTTATTACTATAGACTAAAAATAATTGATTATAAGTAAAATAACTTACTTGGGAGATTCTAATCTATTTTCTTGAAAAAATTAAACATGGAGGCGTGAGATCAGAAAGGATGAGAATTTAGAGTGGTTTGTAGAGAGATTGCATTTGCAGAGAAAGACAAAGGCTCATTTTTTTAGTTTAGATTAGACATAATTAAGGTTAATTAATAAGGATTTGATAAAAACTCATTTTTCTCCGTCAGATTTTAACTGCATATTCTTTCATTAAAATATATTTACATGTAAATTCAAAGTTTTTTTTAATTTATATCATATATTATCCAAAAATTTACTCTTATAAAATGTATTCTTTGAAAAAAGGGACTTAAAAACAAAATTTGATCCCATTATTTTTAATAATACATTTTGAGATAATGTGTGGTTGAAAAGAGAAGGGAGAAAAATAAATTTTGAAAATAATGAATTTCGAACGAGATTTATGACTAATTTTATGATTTTGTCTTTTTTTTTTTTTGAGGTGAAATTAAGAAGGGTAGAACATAAATTAGTAAAATTATAAATGAAAATTAAGCACTCGTTTATTTCCCATACTTCCTTCGTTAAAATGAAAAATATGACCGTTATTCATCATATCAAACCACCAAATTTGAATTTTTATCTCTTATATGGCTCATAACGACTATATTTTTCATTCTCGTTCTTTCGAAAATGAGATACAAAAATGTTTTTAAATATGGGCTTAGGTATACAATTGAGCCTGCAAAAGATAAATTTGTTAGGCTTATTCTATTCAATAATCATTGATTTATTTTATTCATTGTGGATGTGACGTTAATGCTTGCTTGAAGTGCCGTTCTTGCCATCTCTATCACATTTTGGGGTGCACTCAACTAAATTTAGCACGTATGGTGTATATATTAGACACAATTTTCAAATGCTAACATTTAAATTCAAATCTTGGCACTAGTGGACAATAAAATCAGAGTCGTGCCTTCTATCAGTTTACGTCCCGACTTCTATTTGAAACAATTAAAACTCCTCATTTGAACATTTCGGAACTGGATATGTGTTGACAAGGGTAACGATGATAACGATGCAACATAATTGTGTACTTTTAGCATTTTATCTATTGGTATTGTCTATTGTGATTTTTAGATTTCACTAAAAATGACCTTTTTTTAAAGTATTTAACAATGACTTAACTAAATGAAGAGAAAAGATGAATACAACATGCTTCAAACAAAGTTTCGTGCACGTTCAATGAGTAATATAAGACTAAAATTTGGAATATAGAACAATATTTTAACTTATTTTTCTTTCATTAAATAATATATAATCTTTTCATAACCCAACAAAACACAAATTGAAGTTTCCTTTACTGTATAACTGAAGACAACGCCTAGTATTTATTAACAGTTGGCACGATTTCCATTTTACTTCAAGCGTTTAATCATTCGGATATTATATGTTGAAAATTTGATGATTTTTAAAGTATTTATTGGTATAATAATTATTAATTAGTGCCGTCCTTATTTGATCTGCTAATGACATATAATAAATATTTTAGTTGGCCTAAACAAACGTGCAAGTAAATTAGAATATCTTCCTATAATTTTATCGTCTCTATTTGTCGTATGTGCCTATTTCATTCTAATTAATAAGTAAACAAAGGTTTTCTATTCTACTGTTCATCAAAATTTAGGCCCCGTTTGGGAGAGATTTTGAGAATTGATTTTTTAACCGTTAGGAGAAAAGCATGGACTACCTGTGAGAGAAGAAGTCAAACTTTACGGCTGGAATAATGAAATAACGGTAAAACAATCAATTTTTTGAGGTGAAAAATTACTCCCAAACGACCCCTCAATCAAGAGCAGGTTTACAAGTACATAAAGGAGGAAAATGATAGTTTTTCACTTGGACTAGAAGACCAGAATTGGAAACAATGAATCCAGAGCACATTCTTGAAAAAGAGTCAACCACAAGGATAGGTAAATCATGGCTATATGATTCTCAAACCAACAAAATTACGACAAGTATATACAGGTTCAAGAAATTCATAACTACAAATTGATTATAGCAAACTTTCCACGAAGAATGCTCGACTTAACCAAAAAAATAACTCTGTATTCGATTTCTGCAGCCAAAGAGCAAGGCACACTTGAAAGGGTTGGCTGAGATGGAGATGGAACTCAGACAATACTTTTCATTTGATATGGATCTCTCTGCATTGATGGTTGAGCCGTATCTGATTGGAAGGATAATAACACTTGTATATAAAGAGTTACATAATAATTTGCATACAGATGAAGCGTCAAAAAGAGAGTGGGGAAGGTTTTTTTTTTTTTTTTTGGTTGAAAAAATTCTAATCTAATTATATCTCACCACATATAGCACAACTGTTGACTGGAATTCCAGTGGTTAGTAAGTTGAGAGATCAAACCAACTGATGAGAGAACCTGCATTGGCTGGAATGTTTAATTCAGCATCATGGTTTGGCAAGTATGTAATCTAAAATGTATCCAAGCACAATATTTTATCCTGCACAAGAGAACAGATAAATAATAAGAAACTTCCTTAAGATTCAACATATACTACCTCTATCAAAATCATTCATTGACAGAAGAAGCTATAAAAATGTCAAACTCTCCGGTCCAATACAATGCTTGGTCTCTGCAAAAATAACATTAACTTTAGGATCCAGTGCATAGAACAACTAGAATAAGAACATAAAAAAGATGAGATGATGAAACTTCAAATGAGAGAAACTTTGCTGCGCCTCCAAGACCTGAGACGCATAACAAAACAATGTAAAAATCAAGAATGTCTCTACCAACTATTGAAGTACAGTTGCTCCTTGAAAATGTGTAATCAATGTTACAACAGCCATAGTGAGAAGGAATTCGATACTTTATCAAATGAAAGCAAGTTACCCAGAACACAGATAGTATTCAGTTAACACGTACAATAATGCCAATGCATCATATGGAAGATCACATGTTTCCATCTAAACGATCTACACAACACGTTACTTCTCATGGAGGAAATAAAATGTTACAGTAAAGTTTAAGCTTTGATACGCAACTCAAATTTCATTAATTTTCATAGGATCTAGAAAATCAAATATAGTTAATAGTTTCCCAACATATAGGCAGCAGGACAATACGGTTCGTCATTGATGTACTCATCAAGTTTGGTTGTCAATACTAGTTCCAGGAAAAAGTAAAACTCAAAGGGGGGAAGTAGAAGGTGAATAGGAAATATGTAGTTAATAGTATCTAGCTCATGTCCATGCTCTCGCCAATTTGACTGCAGATGGGACTAACAGCAGAGAATGATTTCTCAAATGGTAAGGTGTTATACTGTGCATCCCTTCTCCGCTTAAAAGCGCAGCTCTCACTGGGGGAACTCTCAGCTTCAAGCTTCCTCCGGATACCTTTCACTGCATGTTGCTCAGCTGGAGTCAGGGGAAAAATCTGCTTGCTTACTCTGCAAAGGGAGCTATGGTTATCGTACAGAATTCTCTGGTTACAGTTTTTGTCACAGAAGTGTGTCAGCCCAGTTAGTCTGCAGCGGAACATGTTCCCACAGATGCATTCGTTTTCACATTTCCAATCACACTTGTGAACAGAGTTAGGTCCATCTTGGCCAAGAATACTCGACAAGTAAATAACGTTTGTAGCAGCTACCATAGATTTGCCAAATACCTCCATTGATTCTGTTGATTTCCAAATGTCAGTTCCTACAAAGAATTCCAGATTCCAGAAGCTCTGACCTAAATGTTCTGTAGACCCAAGAAAAGATGCGAACGTCAAGTTTTAGGGAGAACCAAGGGCTAAAGGATAACAATAACAAGAAATGAATTTAGCTAGGTTATTTGGCAAGTGTCTCTGTTTTCATGACAACGTAAAAACCAAGGGGTGGCCACGAAGAATCCCTAAATGGAAAAATTATTATACAAGTTGAAACTGAAAATTACTAAAAACATTTAGGCCTGATAGAATTTATGCACTCTTCAGCATGTTTACAAGTCTTCCACGTTTCTCCCCTCCCACCAATAAGTACACAACTCTGTAAAATACTGATTTTGCACCGCGTCAAAGCAGGTAATTTTGTAAGAAACTGAAGGTTATATATGCTTTCAACAATTTTCAATTTTAGCAAAGTGCAAATATAACTTAATTAATATAACCATTAATAAAAGGAGTCAGCAAACAGTCACCTGATGATCTCGAAATAGGCTGCAGCATAAGTTTCTCATGTAGATGCGTGAAAAAAAATATCAATTAACGACAGAATTTGCAGTGTACTCACCTAAATTCCAAGTTCAATATCCGAGCACACCTCAATTTTCACAAAAAATAATCCTCTATAAAGAGGAAAAATATGAATTTCCAAATTATCTTTAGGCCGAGATTTTTACCACTAAGAATCAATAAAGAAAAACTATACCAATGATGGCAATACATTAGGATGGATTTATCCATTTATATACTGCGTATCTACATGTATGTAGATCATTTTTTTTATCTTAAAAGAATCAATCTATCAATAAATGTTGTGCCGCTTCAATTACACGGTTCACTTCTTCAACAGTCAAAATTTAGTAAAACCCACACAAAATCGTATATTAATCCGAATCCAGACAAATAGCAACCGAAACCTTCAACTAGAATTCAAATCAATAACAGTGTTCACTTCTTTAACCATAAAAACTTCCTTAAATCCACATAAAATCAAACAATAATCCGAATCCATACAAATAGCATTCGGAGCCTTCAACTAGAATTCAAATTAATTACACCGTTTACTTCTTTAACCATAAAAAATTCGCGTTCAATAATCCTAATCCAGACAAATAGCACTCGGAACCTTCAATTAAAATTCGAAATAAAATTACAATACATATATAGAGAGAGAAAGAAATACTTACAAAGCGACACGGAAAATCAAGACGCTTCAGCTCCAGCTCTCTCTCTCTCTCTCAGGCACGCAGCACTATGCCTAGAATGAATAAAAGAAGGCAAAAATTGCCGAGAGCAGGTGAGATATTTATAGAGAGAAGGTTATCCGATATTCATGTAGTGGACGTTGGAGTAATTAATTAGTGCAAAATGTAAGTGAAATTTGGATAGAATTAAAGCTGACTATGTCTTTAGTGGTAGCGGAAGTTAATGCGAATCCGAGTGCGTGCGAGCGACACGGCGGTGCTTTCAACCTCATATATGTGATTTTGCATCAATAATTGGTGCAAACATTTGAAATCGTTTTAATTGGCATTTTAGTCTTCAAATCGATCAAACTTTACGCAAAACATTCTTCCAATCCATTTTCTCTTTAAAATCTAGAAAATTGACGAATTTACATCCTTTAAGTGAACAAAAAGATAAATTAGAATCTCAAAACTTTTCAAAAAAGTATAAGGCCTGATCGATAGTAATTTTGAGAATTGATTTTTTGACAATTATGAGAAAAGTGGGGCCACATGTGAGAGAAGAAGCCAAAAATTACGACTTTAATAGTGAAATAAAGATCAAAAAATCAATTTTACCTAAATAGGTCACACTAAAAATAATTTTAGAAAAAAAAATTTAAAAAAAAATCATTTATCTAACCAATCCTATCTACCTACTCGTGACTTTCGCTACCACCACTATCAACAATTTCCAATCTATGTCATTGGTGCCTTCCAACTTATTTCCATTCCCATCATCGATTGATGTCACCACCATGGCCTCTAAATATATAATTGTCTTTAAATTTTAATTATTTATAAATAATATTATTATTGAATTTTCTAAACTTAACTAAACATGCATTAATTCAACATGATGGACACATGTTTAAGAAAATGTGTGTCATGAAGTATGAAAATAATTTAGAAATATAAAAATAAATTCATCTTTTCAACCAATCCCACCTATCTACTTGTAGTCGTCACCACCACCACCACCGCTATTATCGAAATTTTTCAATCTGTCATTCATGCTTTTCGATTTCTTTCCATTCCCACCCTTGATTGTCGTCATCGAGCCATCGCCATTAGATATATAACATCACCATTAGATATATAATATTCTTTAAATATAATTATTTATATATAAAATTATAAGTGGATTTTCTAAACTCAACTTAAGATGCATTTATTCAACACGGGGGGCACATGTCTACGAAAAAATGTGTCGTGAAGTATGGGGACAGCTATAAGTAACAAAATTTAAATATTTTTTCTATTTTGTTTTTTCTTTGCCTTTTGTCTTAGTCTTCGTGTTAACGTTAAAATAGAAAAAGTCGAGGGTACTGTTATAATCACGTACGAAGATTCGACAAGTGGTACAATCTCGATTTTGAGGATGACGTGGTAGATGGTCACTGCCTGTATTGTTTGCTTGTTTACTTATAATGTTGACTATATAGCCCAATTATTGAGTCCGTTATACTGGTGGGCCCAATAAATGAATTTAGCAAGGAGTATTGCTACAGGTTCTAAGAAGTTCATAATTCAAGTATATTGTTTGTACCAATTCACAAATCAGGTCTAAAGTTTAAAAATGTAAAATTCAGATTTTGGTATAATTAATTAAAAATATTTATTAATTAAATATAACAAAGTCACAATTATACGATTAATGATCATAGATTCATAATTATTGGTCACAAATTTATTTACTGATCGCATATCAATGATTAATTGGTCACATATTATTTCGTGGTTACAAATCAATTATTTCGAGGTCACAAATCATTCAAATTACAGGTCACATTTTATTTATGGGTCACATATCACTGTTTATTGGTCACAAATTATTTTGTAGTCACAGACACCTAATTTTTTGTCACAAATCACCCAAATAATTGGTGACAAACGTCCAAATAGTTGGTCACATACGGGGAATTGTTGGTCATGGACAGCCCCACCCTTGGCCAACCAAAATCAATAAAATCACCACCACCGCTGCCGCGCCGCCACCAGTAACACCACCGCACATACCGCCACAAACAAATCACACGAGCCAGTCACCAGACTTGCCTACCACTGCCTGTATCATGCCTAGATCCACCGCACCACTATCACCATCGTCGACCGCCACCGCCACCCCACCTGCACCTCCAACGAAAACCACCACCATATCGAAAAATCAAAAACCCCCCCACCCCCCAAAATTGTAGATCGAACAACTACACCACCACTAGCGCCGCCGCCACCTCCACAGTCAAACCACCACTAACACCACAAAAAAAATCACTCAGATCGCCACTACAACGCTCAGATTTGAAGGCACAAAGGCGATCTTCGAGCAAAGTCAGTGTAAAAATTGCAGATCGAACCACTATACCACCACTAGCGTCGCCGCCACCTCCACAGTCAGACCACCACTAACACCACAAAAAACATCACT